TTCTCCACAACATCCTATCCTTTCTAGCTCTAAGCAAATGTTGGTTTTTTTTCCTAATCTACGCTTGAGGTTGTCTGCTAGATCTGATTTCCAGATTACATCAATTTCATTCAAGGCGAATGAGGCTTTTTTTTAAGTAAAATATATTTCGCTTCCTAGACATGTGAAAAACTCGACATATTTATTGATTTACCTGAGAAAGTTTGTATTGAGCCTTGTTGACTGAAGCCTACGAATTCAGTTTTAACGGCATTGACATAGAGTCCACGATCGTTGGCACTATTTTCTAGATGATGTAGGAGAACTGTGGCATTGGTAATGATGTCTGCAGGGGTAGCTAGGTCATTGGCTTGGTCAATCTTTCAACCTTTTTGCATGATATGAACTTGAGAGTCTTGGTGATAAAATAAAACCAAAATGTTCATATTTGCTGAGAAAGTTCTCAATACGTAGTCAAGGGTGATAACAAATACAAAAGGTGAAAGAATATCACTCTGGAGGACGCCTGCTTTGATATCGAAGAATCTAGTGTCTCCATCGGGGGATTGGGATTATCATTTTAATCTTTGTGGCTTTCATCTTTGTTTTTTGTTATAATCGAACTATTGTCCTTACATTTGTTTTTGTTATCATTACGTAATTATAGGGGTAATCGATTAAATCGTTGGTTCGTGAATTTGATGATATAGGAACTGAGATTTCAATCACTGGGTGGACTTGGACTCAGTGGAAAGAACCCGAACAATATGAAATATGATAGGTCCTGAGCTGGCATCTTGACACCAGTCACTTTCTTACAGACGTGATCTGGCTTCCTTCTGCCTGTTCTGCTCTGACGCGCTATTTTCACTGCTAACCCAACTGCATAATTTAAGCATGCGTCTAGGTTGGCATTTCGGTCCCAACCTTTCACTGTCGAAAAATATAACCGCCTCTTCTACTTCTTATCTCACACTTCCCGACAGTGGAACTCCCTTCCTCTTACTTGCTTCCCTGATAGCTATAATCTTCAAATCTTCAAATTTAATGTCAATCGATATCTTCTGATACCTTGATCCTGATCCCCTTTCTATATCCTTTCTTCAAACACCCCTCTTTACTCTTGCTCTCACTCTATGTATCCCCTTGCGGGCCAGTGGCACTCCTGCCTTGCTTGGGGTGAAATGCTTAAAAAATAATTATGCCAGTACAAAAAATAAGAACTAGACGAGATATCTCTCGATATGAAAAGTGGAAAGGAGAACTGTAGATTAAATAAAAGGTTCAGTTTAAAATATGCATCGATATACATTTGAGAAATGTAAGTGAGCACAACGGCCAAAACGTTGTCATAATAACAACAAAGATGAGGACAATAGTTCGAATATAAATAGTGTAAATAATGATACACACATAATGAAAAAGGGGCTACAAGCGAACACTGAATTGAAAATCTTCCAACGAATAATCAATCGATAAAAAATAGCCATGGTAATATGCAGTACGTTAAGGAAGGTGAGGCCAGATATGACTTTTTACTGGTTGGTAGGACACGGACAAGAGACACTCAATCGTTTGTGAGATATGAAACTTAAGTCATTTTATTAGTATGAATATGCAAAACGCTTATGAGACGACGAAGGAAGCTAGCTAGCTAGCTAGCTAGATAGATAGATAGATAGATAGATAGATAGATAGACAATAGGGATAGATAGACAGGATAGATAGATATATATATATATATATATATATGGATAGATAGATAGATAGATAGATGATGATATGGACAGGAGAGAGGGACAGTTGTAGAGAGAGAAACAGGATGGCAAAAGAGAGAGAGGCAGAGACAGAAAAGTCATTTAAAGATATATATATATATATATATATAGATAGATATATATATATATATATAGAAATATATATATATATAGATAGATAGATAGATAGATAGATAGATAGATAGATAGATAGATAGATAGATAGATGGGCCCAAACAATGTAATCACCCACTGTTATTAACTGTTGATATTCGTCCCTCGCTATAAACTTTAATAATGTATGCTTATGTGCGGATATTTAATCACCATAGGAGAGAGAAACAGAATGGCAAATAGATAGATAGAGAGATAGATAATAGATAAGAGAGATAGAGAGAAGAAAGAAAGAGATAGATAGATAGATATATATATAGATAGATAGATAGATAGATAGATAGATAGATAGATAGAGATAGATAGATAGATAGAGAAACAGAGATAGATAGATAGAGAGAGATAGATAGATAGAGAGATAGATTAATAGAGATAGATAGATAGATAGATAGATAGATAGATAGATAGATAGATAGAGATAGATAGATAGATAGATAGATAGATATGGATGTGATAAAACAGTTATTGGAAACAAACAATTCGCTCAGTGAATGAAAACATTTAAAGAGATCATAGATTGTTCTTAGATAGATAAGATGATTGATATTGAATAGAGATAGATAGAAACAGAGCGTATATTAGAGGATTAACAGAAATAGATAGATAGATAGATAGATAGATAATGAATAGATAGATGATAGATGATAGATAGATGATAGATAGAACAGTTATTGGAAACTCGCTTTAATCACTGTTCATGAACTGTTGATAGATAGCTATAGGCAAATACTTTAATAATGATATGTGCGGATATTTAATCACCATAGGATAGATAGATAGAGAGCGAGAGAGAGAGAGAGGGGGGAAGAGGGGAGTTAGTAGGAAAAAGTTACTCGGCTTGCTTGAATAACTAATGACTTAAAAAGGTTTTCCGAAATTAATATATATATACACAAACTGGGATAGATAGATAGATAGATAGATAGATAGATAGATAGATAGATAAGAAAAGTGCGATAGATAGATAGATAGATAGATAGATAGATAGATAGATAGATAGATAGATAGGGAAAGATGATAGAAAATTATGATAGATAGTTAGATTAGAAAATTATGCTAGATAGATACATACATACGTACCAACACAGAATACCAATCTTCACTTCATGCAATAATGACTGAATTCACTCATAATCGCTTCCCTTTTAATGTCGGCACGTTAGAATAAATTTATAATTCATGTTGTTGACACAATTCACAGTCGCACTCCCTAGCAATTGCTCCCGAGAAAGAATGTTAACCATCACCCTAAGTTTGCATCACCACTTTACGTCAATATTTACTTGCTTGCTGTGTGTTGATGAGTACTCGCATTTGCTGAGATCAAAATGCATTGTGGGTATAAGAGAGAGAGAGAGAGAGAGAGAGAGAACGCACCGTGTGCTTTGAACCTATTTATTGATATATCTATATGTATTAATATCTATAGTGTTTAGTATAGTAAGGTTAGTATGTATCGTAGAAGATATAGATGACATAATCCCCGAGAAGAGGATATTTGCCATTGCACAACGACCATTAATTTCAAAGGTCGTGGCATAAAAACATAAAAATGGGACACAATTAGGATAGAACTCATTAGAATCGTAATGGCCTGCGAAAGTAGCAGGCTAATGGTTTGATTACTAGGAAACGCCCTATTTGCATATATAACAACCGCTATAGTGATATTAATACAAATAGATAATGTACAACATTTAATGTAAATTCAGAGCGACCCTTCTTATTTTCGTCAGAGGTGGATCCAGCATGTAATATTATATTGTCATTCCAAAAAAGAAAAAGAAAAAAACTATGACCAATTTTGTAGGCTCTTCACATCATAAAACGGCAAGCCATCATCAATAACATGTATTTTAATATCGGCTGGCCCGTGTTGATATTCCTTTGTAGCGTAACGTCATTTTAGTAACGGGGAGATAAAATCTATTCCACCACCATAACAAGTGGACCTGCATTTTCAGACTCAAGACCATTAACAACGATTTAGAAAGGAATAAATCCGGTGAGAAGATACATCGTTGTCTTACACAGACATCGATGTGTCTTCTCGCCGGACATATTCAACCTATACAGTGTGGTGATTCTGAAAGAATTAAAAGTCCTAGCAGGAATCATTATTGGCAGCCACCATCTTAACAACAAAAGATATACACATAACGCAGTATTGATAACAGAGTCACCGGAAGCTAAAATCTATTCTACCACCATAACAAGAGGAACTACATTTTCAGACTCCAGACCATTAACAACGACATAGGAAGGAGTGTAAGACAAGGATGGGTCTTCTCACCGGACTTATTCAATTTATAGGCGATTCTGAGAGAATTAGAATCCTACCAGGATTCATTATTTGCGGAAACCATGTTAACAACATATGATACGCAGATGACGCAGACAGACAAGAAGCTAAAATCTATTTATTATTGGAGACCAAAATCTTGACAACATAAGATATTCAGATGATGCGGTGTTGTTAGCAGACAAATAAAGGTAACTGCAAGAACTCTTAAAGAATGTAGAAAAGCAAAACAAAAAGAAATTTCAAGAAGGCATGGTTGTTACCAAAAGGAATAGTCCAATATGAAAATCAAATTTGGAAATACAAAAATCAAACAAGTACAACATTTTAAATATCTGGCCATATTTTAACAGAAGATTAAATGTGCGACACTGAACTCCGAATACGCGGGAAAGAGTAAGATGCCTCTCAAAAGCTAAGCAAAGTATCAAGAAACGGAACAATTTTCTTAGAAACAAAAAAAAAGTGTATTAGTCTGTTACGTAATAGCGGTCCTCCTATATAGTAATGAAGAAGAGACTTAAAGCAACAGAAATGTGGTTCTACAGTAGGATGCTGAGAATACCATGGGTCGAACACGTGAGCAACGACGAAGCTTGTGAGAAAATGGAAACAAAAAGGACAGTTATAGAAAGAGACAGTTGTAATTTCTAGGGAGCAAAATGAGGAAAGAGGGCTTGGAAAATTTGACACCCACAGAAGAGATTGAAGACAAGAGACACAGAGGAAAGATGAATGAAAGATCAGAATTTAGGAGAGATAACAAAAGGAAAAAAAATAGTAAGAGTTACAAAGGACAGGAAATTGTGGAGAGCCACGATCGGCAACGCCCGAAAGGGAAACAGCACATAAGAGAACATCTGTCAACTCTTGTTTTCTTTCCTCGTAACGTTGCTCATAATTTTGATAAGTTCCTTTACATTTTTCTATTTTGGGTTAAAAGAACTAGATAAGCTAATTATTCTTCACAGACCTTTCCTGTCCATTCTATTTAATAAAACATATTTAAACGAAGGGTTGCTACCTATATTCATGTACCAATATTCATGTATATGTTTATGTTTGCGAATTTCTGCACATAAGATTTTAGACAGGTTTTCTCAAAATAAATACACACTATGAATTTTTGTTAATCCGATGTTAGTTCAACAAATTCAAATAATTAATCAGAATAAAGAATTATTTACACTACAGTGAGTTCCCCACTTTTCGCGGGGTTTAGGACCCAGAACCGGCCACGAATAGTTAGAATCCGAGTATACTTGTAACCCCATAAAAGTCCTTATAATTACTTATTTTGATTGTTAAAAGCCCATATGCCTTAAACTTTTATCCTAAACATTTTAGAAACATTTCAAACCCTTTTTAAAACATTTTTGAAAAATTGTATTGGTGACCATACATTTAGCGTAAATTTTCTTTTATTCGTATATTAACCGTTTTTAATTACGTATAGATCGATACGACCATTGAAAATACTGTATAAAATATGTGTAACAAGACATAAAATATAAAGATTAAAACATTTTCTAAAAATATAACTGTGATGATGGCCCCAGACTTAGTATAAGCCACTTTTAAGACCCCAGCCGCAGCTCCTAACAAAGAACAAAGCCAAAGCACTAAAAATGTTTTTGCGTTTGTTTTTCACAATGAAGATGTACAATTTTGCCAATTTTTACCATAAAAAAATGAACTGTTATGTTTTAAGTGACTTAAATAACAGGAAAATAATACAAGAATATTTTTAAATATGTTCCATCGAAAAAAAAAATACGCGAATCGAAAGAGTTCTCAGCGAATAATTTGTAAATATGTTCTTCAGAAAAAACATGAATATTCGGGGTTTCCGTGAATAACAAGTACATATCTTCTAAAGAAAAATCCGCGAATGAGTGAAGCCGCGAATGCTGAAACGCGAATAGGCGGGGGCTCACTGTATTTACATTCAGACTATCTTTGTTTTTACTATCACAACGTTTCGGCAGTTATTCCTCCGGCCTTCATCAGGTATACATCGATCTGAGTAACCTAAAGGGAATTCCGAATTGAACCCTTTATTTATTCTACCGGGGTAAACTGTTCTTGTTTCAATGATCATGTCGAGTGATTGCGCGTCTAGTTTTTTTTATTTTTAGTACTGATCGGTTATTCCCCACGGGACAATAGCCCAGTGGGATCTTGTTTTCTTTTTATGTGCCATGTCCTTTCAGGATGTAGGCGATCATGGCTCTCCATACCTTGCAGCTCACGACAAATTCCTTCCCTCTGCTACCTCCTCCAGACCACGTTCTGTCATCCACTTGTTTAAGCCCGCTAGGTATCTCATGCGTTGTTTTCCCTTGTCTCTCTTTCCCTCTATTCGACCCGTGAGTATCAGATTCTCCAGGCCATTCGTCCTCATTATGTGTCCCAGAAATTTCAGGTGCCTCTTCCTGATATTAAGTATAAGCCTACTCCTTGTCTGCAACCTCTGTAAGATCTCATCGTTGCTCACATGCTCGGTCCATGATATCCTTAGCATCCTTCTGTAGAAGCACGTCGCCTCAAGTCTCTTCTTCACCTTTGAGGAAATCGTCCAACATTCGCTGCCGTAAAGAAGGACAGATATCACGTAACAGCTCAGTATTCTTTTCTTTGTTACCAAAGAAATCCTCCTGTCTTGCAATACTCTGCCCAGCTTTTGGAATGCGTCCTTGGCCATCCCAATACGTCTACGGATCTCAGTGTCGCACTTACTGTCCTCTGTTAAGATGCTGCCCAGATATTTAAACTTCTGCGTCTTCTTGATTCTAGTTCTCCCGACCTGCCAATCGCATTTCGGGCTCATCCTTTTACTGATGACCATGCATTCTGTCTTCTTGTAGATATTTACCAGCCTTCCCACCAAGTAGAATATGGCACAAGGCAGAGTTTAAGGTGGGGTAATCCGAGCCCGAAGGCCCTGCCAAAAATTCCCCTGTCTTCTTGCAGTTTATGCTTAGTACAGCGTTGATTTGTGGATTGAGTGATATGGTAATTGTGAGTTTCATCTCTGGGCCGGGCAGTGAGTACTTGAACACAATGGAAACCAGGCGAGCAATACTAGTACTTTTTAGCATTGAGCAGTAGTTAAATAACTACTAGTACTTTTTTGTTATTGAGCAGTACTAAAAGTAACTACTAATACATTTTAGTAATGAGCAGTAAGAACTACACGAAATATTCCTCGACAAGAAGTGTGGAATCGGAAGTCTACACACGTAGATAAACTTGGCATCATGGCTTCAGTTATTTTCTCACCGGCGTCACGCCACTTTTCTACAATATATTTTTCATGGCAGCTTCCCCGACGAGCTTTTTTCCTTGGTGCCCTGACTACATGAATTTAATCGTGCTACTAGATTGGCATCTAGGTCCCACCCGTTTGTTGTTGAAATAAATAAATGCAACCGTCACTTATAATCCAACAGTTTCTTTTCTTGCACTTCCCGACTAAGAAACTCCCTTCCGTTTAGTTGCTTCCCTGAGAAATACAATCTTCAAAAACGTCAATGCAATGCCAATCGCCATCTTCTTGTATCCCGTTCATATTTCATTCTTTCCTCAATCCTCCCTATACTCAGTTTTTTTTTTCTCACTTTCAGTCCCAGTGCCCCCTAGCGTACTAGTGAATTTCATCGCCTAGCATTGGGTTGCAAAGAGCTTGTGTGATGATTGCAATCAGTCCATCTTCCCAGGTTTCCCGATAGCCTTGTTTATATTTGCGTCGTTCACACGCGTGCCACGCCTTGGACGTGACCAGGTTAGTTCACTTCATGAATGCGTTACCGGTGTTGCTCTTACGGACGTCCCTCCGAATGATATGGCCGACTGTCCTACTCTCCTGGGGTAAATCGTAAAGAAAAAATGATTAAAGAAAGGGTTCACTTCTGAATACCTTGAAGGTCAGTGGGTACAACGGCCGAAACAACAACAAAGATGGGGACAATAGTCCGAATATAAATAGTGTAAATAAGTCTTTATTTTGTAAAAAAAAAAAAAAAAAAAAAAAAGTGTTACGTTTTCCCGCCTTTGAGAGCTCCCAGAGCGAAAAAGCTTCCGATGTGAATATTTCAAGTTAGGTCATTAAGAACGCCAGCGACTGTGCTAAAACAAGAAGCTGTGTTTTTAAAGCCCGCTCTTTTGTGTTACAAATGAATCTTGCTTTAAAAAAAAGGAACTTAATCATAGATTTGTTCGGTTATCTATTTATTGTCAGCCTCTGATTTTTACCAACAACTTGCATCAAAATTCCAACAACAATAAAATAGGAACTCTCCATGTTTAGAAGCAAAAAAAAAAAAAAAGAAGAATGTATTTTAAGAGGCTTATTATGTTTTGAAAGAAAAGAAATGGACAAGTTGTCGTTTTTGAAAAGGGATTCAACAATAGATTATTATTATTATTATTATTATTATCATTATTATTATTGTTGTTGTTTTTGTTATTGTTGTTGTTGTTGTTAATGGCGGTGGTGGTGGTGTTGGTGGTGCATTCCAGAATTTTTGAAGCCTGAAAGATGATCGCTGGGAATATTGAATATTTATTATGTATTTTTAAATATATTTTTCACAAATAAACTTAAAAAAAGATTAAATCAAGTGCCAGTTATTCAAAAATCGACTAATTTCATACAATATGAAATGAAAATGTTTTTTTGTTTTTTTTTAATTTAATTTATTTTTATTTATTTATTTCGGTTGTTTTTCGTTTATTTTTGTGTCATTAATTTTTACATTTTGATGAAATTCACAAAATCCCTTTTCGGAAATCGACATCGGTTGAACAATAGAAAAATGAAAATAAGAAAGAAAGAAAGAAAGAAAGAAAGAAAGAAAGAAAGAAAGAAAGAAAGAAAGAAAGAAAAACAAAAAGAAAAGATAGAACAAAAAACAAAGAGAATGAATGAAAAAAGAAGAGAATGAAAGAAAGAAAGAAAGAAAGAAAGAAATAAAGAAAAAAGGAAAGAGTGAAAATCAGAGAGAGTATGAATCAAAAAGAAGGAATGAAGATAAAAAAAGACTGACAATCAGAAAGAAAGAGTGAACGAAAGAAAGAAAGAAAGAAAGAAAGAGGGAACTTAAGAAAGAAAAAAGAAAGAAAGAAGGAAGGAAGGAAAGAAAGCGTGAAAATAAGAAAGAAAGAAAGAAAGAAAGAAAGAAAGAAAGAAAGAAAGAGTGAATATCAGAAAGTGTGAAAATAAGAAAGAAAGAAAAAATCAGAAAGAAAGAAAGGAAGAAAGAAAGGAGGAAAGAAAGAGTGACCTTAAGAAAGAAAAAAAGAAAGAAATAAAGAAGGAAGGAAGGAGTGTAAATCAGAAAGAAAGAAAGCGTGAAAAAAAGAAAGAATGAAAGAAAGAAAGAAAGACTGAAAGAAAGAAAGAAAATAATTGAAAGAAAGAAAGAAAGAAAGAAAGGGTAAAAAAGAAAGAAAAAAGAAAGCATGAAAATAAGAAAGAAAGAAAGAAAGAAAGAACGAAAAAAAGAACGAAAGAAAGAAAACGAAAATTAGAAAAAACAGAAGAAAACCAAGGGAAAAGGGAAGAAAAAAAAAAGGACAAAAAACAAGAAATGAATTTCTGAGCGTAAAAAAAAAAAGAAAGAATTTCCAAGAAGAAATCTGAAGAAGGACGAGATTGGAATAAACATTTATTTTAATGAACCAGGAAAAAAAAAAAAAAAAAAAAAAAAACATGAAACAAACGGATAAAGGAAAGACTTTTTAAAACTCCAATTCTTCTACGCCAGATTTTGAAGATTTCGCAGAAAATTTGAATTATAATAGAGGTGCACTAGATATTCTATCTATCTATCTATCTATCTATCTATATATATATATATATATATATATATATATATATATATATATATTATATATATATATATATATATATATATATATATATATATAAAGATAAAGATATAGTTATCGATTAAGAAAAAAAAGCGTATGGCCCTGTTATGATTATATCGCCAAAAAATCTCTGGCATTTAAGTACATAAACAAAAAAATAAAGCTACAATCAGAAGCTTGATTCAACGAAATCTTTCTACCTCCCAACAATTATGTTGCAAAATCTTTCAAAAACCACTTATCTATTAATTAATCATAGTATATCTAGGTAGCAATCCTTCTTTCAGATATGTTCTATTAAATACAATGGAAAGGGTATATTAAACCTTTGGAGATTTTCTGGAGTCAAATAAGTCGCTGATGTCATGCAGAGAAATGAATATGTTCAGATTTTCACTTACCATTGTCAAAGTCAGGTCTAACGAAGGATTCAACAATAGATTTGTTGAATATATATATTCAAAGTGTAGAAATATTTTCAAAGTGTAGAAAAACGAACAGATCTCATCGTTCAAAGCATTCATTTAAAAACAGTGCTCAATACAAAAAATAGAGCCTTAAATATTTATTCATTTCTTATGCAGCGTTACATTAGAACATGCATATATCCACTACAACAGTGTACATCACTAATTTTTTCTAAGCTCTATACTAGACATTAAATCAGTTACGAAAAAAAATGAACACAAAACGATCAGCTTTAAAATAGGCCTCCGTAACTGGAAAAACCGAATGAAAAAAGAATATTAACAAGTACTTTTTTACACCCAACCCAGTTCTGCGGAATCAGAATCAACGTTGAGTTTAAGCAAGCGAATGAGTCAATTGGAGTAAAGTGCCATGCAGATTTAAATTTTTCCCACTTGTGATGAATGTAGCTAACGTTTTTTTTTTGTTTGATTTTTTTTGCATGCTAGCATGCTAGTTAACATTCGTGTCAGCTGTTGGCTCTCACGCTGGCCAGTAGAATCTTCCTGCCTATTCAACAGCCAGCTATTGTCTCTCACTCTGGCCAGTAGAAAATGGCTGCAAACTACATGAAAACTGCCGTAGAAGCATGAAAAGATCGATTATTTCCACTATCGATGGGAGTTGGGAAATGCAAAGTGGATCTTGGCCTTCCCGCTAACTTGGAGTATGGGCCAATTGGTGCAAATCCGTCGAAAATTGCGGCCGTGTATTCGTTACACACACATCTTGCCTTTTTATATATATATATATATATATATATATATATATATATATATATATATATATATATATATATATATATATATATAAAACACTCTATTTATGGGTAATAGTGCTCTATATCAGGCATATACTCTGTGTCAACACCGACTTTTTCATTGTAAGCTTCTTTGGTTCACTTCGAATTATCGTTCTTGTCTTATCAATCTTAGTGTGTACTTAGTTCGTGTCTATATAGTCAAGGAGGGGTCGGAAATAGAATTTAACTGTGATGTATTGATCAAAAATTTAAAAAGGGGACTAAAAGTAGATAAAATTATGTAAGGGATTAATGGAAAGAGAATTGCGGGGAATTTAGAGTAAGGGAAAGTTTATAGATTTCAATTAATATAGCGTTAAGAAGTTATAGAAGGGGGAATTAAATATAGAAAATTATAATTAGTTATAATGTTGACATTTAAGAGTTAGAGGAGAGCGAAAATTATGGGAATATGGTAGCTAATTAAGTTAAACCTACATTATGTAAATTTTAATTTCTTTTTATGATGATATTATATATTCCTACATATGAAGAAATATAGTCTTAAGGTGTGGTATATTTATAGGATAAAGTGCTCAATATCAGAGATGAGTTATTATTTTTGGAGCTCATTTCTAATAGCATTTTTCGGATTACAACAGTACATATATTTTCGTTGTCCTCTTATTACTGAGAGAAAAAACAAGAACAAAATCTATTCCATACCTGAGGATGTCTGTAAGAACAGACGAAAGCTTGTAAAAATAATAAGGACTCATGCAGCAGAAATTTATAGAAACAAGGATCTTTTCATTCATAAACAGATTCGGGGTTTTTGTATATTATTTGAATTGTTCGCGACGATGGATTTCTCGCCAATTAAATCATTAACCTTTGTATTTGTTTTTGTATGAATAATTCATATATATATATATATATATATATATATATATATTAACGTGTTTTAGTGGCTTTTCTGCTTTTCATGGGTTGATACTGATTAATATATATATATATGTGTGTGTGTTTCGGTGCGTGTGTGTATATATATATATATATGCATACATATATATATATGCATACATATATATATATGCATACATATATCACATATATATATATATATATATATATATATATATATATAGTGTGTGTGTGTGTTTGTGTGCGTGTGTATATATATATGCATTATATGCATTCATATATATACATATACATATAGTGCGTGTGTGTGCGTGTGTGTGTGTGTGTGTTCCATATAACTTTTACTTTTAATATGAACTACGTTTAAGAGTCTAATGATTTTGTTCTTTTTTCTGTCAGATTTAACAATTTAAGTCTTTGGCAATTTCAACCATGGATAGATTAACAATCAAACAACGTGCTAAAGTTTCAGGAGTGCAAGTGGAAAAATTGTTCGTAAAACAAACTGTGTCGATGGCAGACGTGAAAACACCATTGCGTGCTCGTTTACGCCGTTCAGCTGAAAACATTGCTGCAGTGCATGAGAATGTGGCCGAAAATCCAGACCCCTCTATTCGTCATCGCGCGCGCGAATTGAACCTCTTCACAACAACGTTACATCGTATTTTAACAAAAGATTCGTCTCTACACGCATACAAAATTCAATTGACCCAATAACTGAAAACCTGCTGACCATTTGGAGCACCGTACATTTGTCAATTGGGTGCATGAGCAAAAACAAACCGATGAAAATTTTTCGCAAAAAGTCCTCTTTAGTTATGAAGACCATTTTCATCTTGGTTGATTCGTTAATAAGCAGAATCTCGCATTTGGGCTGATGAAAATCCAAGGAGATTGTTGAAAAGATCAATATTTGGTGTGCATTGTTTTTTTGTTTTGTTTTCTTGCTAGTGGAATCATTGGGCCGTATATTTATAAATTTGAACGTCCATTTTTGTAATAGGCTTCGATAACTTTAACACGTTGTTTGATTGTTAATCTTTCCATAGTTTAAATTGCCAAAGACTTAAATTTTTAAATCTGAAAGAAAAAAATCATTAAAAGCTTAAACTTAATTCCCATTTAAAATCGGTCCAAGTTATTAAAACAACCTTTATATAAAATATAATTGTGTATGTGAGCAGAAAACACCTCTTTTATACAAATTACATTAAACACGACTGTCTAGCTAATGTGGTTAAGCTTTTTATTCAATTTTTCTTCTGATAAGTGTTTTCCTTTATGGAAATAAAGTGTGTAAAATTTTCTATACATCCGCCAGCTTTCGGTTATGTTATTAGCTATTATCAAGGAGGTTTCTTTTTTTAAGAGAATATCTGGATTTATATATATATGTGATCTTGTTTGGAAAATACAAAAAAAAAAAACAAAAAAAACATTCCCATCACTATAGATAGAGATGTATAAAAATCTATATATTAAGTTGAAAATGGAAAAAAAAAAGACAACCTTGATAATGGTTAATAGAATAGCCGAAAGCGCTCGGGTATAGAGAACGTTCGAATAGTTTTTACACACTAAAGTGTCCAGCTAAAAAAAACTCTTATACGAACACAAGTAAAACTGTATAAAAAGCTTAATCGTAATATCGTTTTTAATGAAACGTGTATATAGATAGATAGATAGATAGAAAGATAGAGAGAGAGAGAGATAAATAGAGAGAGAGAGAGAGATGCGCATATGTCTTATATTTGCCCTTCTCTCTCTATTTCTCTAGATATGAATAAACTAATATAGATTTAAAAAGAATAAGGTAGATATAGTAGATATAGATATAGGTATAGATTAAAAAGCAATGCGGTAGAGAGAGACAGAGAGTGATAGGTAGATGTGAAAAGGCTGTGATAGATAGATAGATAGATAGATAGATAGATAGATAATGCAGAGAATAAGATAGATAGATAGATAGATAGATAGATAGATAGATAGATAGATAGATAGATAGATAGATAATGCAGAGAATTAGATAGATAGATAGATAGAAAGAAAGAAAGAAAGAAAGAAAGAAAGAAAGAAAGAAAGAAAGAAAGAAAGAAAGGCATATAAATCAACAATGCACCCCCCACGGCCCAAGCAATCCTCTAACTGCTTCACTACAGCTTGTGTGGTTTCCATATATAGGACAATCGGGGCCTTAGGGAATGAAGTATCCAAGAGGACTCATGTTTTATTTTTGCATATTCCTGACCTTGAGTGTGTTTATTTATTTATTGATTGATTGATTTATATTTAGTTTATAGATATTCTTTCTTCGCTATCGGTTGCTAAATGTTGATATTTGAAATAACGATTATTTTTTTCTCCTACGTTATTGTTCTATCTTTTGAGTCATTATGTGGTTGTAATACTAAGTGCATACACACACACACACACACACACATATATATATATATATAT